TACACTGAGCGCGTCAGGTGATGGTTCAATTCGTCAGTGGAAAATAGATGGAGAACCAGTGGGGAGGCCTTGGACTAGTGACGGAGGAGCGGTGGAATTAATAGCAATGTCTCCAGATGAATCGATGGTCGTGAGCAGAAGCGCAGATGGCAGGCTACGGTTGTGGAACATCGATAAGGGCAGCATAGTCGGTGACCCATGGGAGGGGCATAATTCTTTCGTTTGGTCCCTCAATTGGTCTCCCAATGCCCGGGAGATTGCAAGTGGATCACAAGATGGCACCATACGACGCTGGAACTCGGATACTGGCCGACAAATAGCATCACCTATAGAGACCGGCCATGGGATGGTTTGCACCCTCAAATACTCTCCATAAGGGGACAAAGTCGCGAGCAGTGGAGAGGACAAGTTGATCCGCGTGTGGTCAAAGGACGGCGAACCGCTCATGGTGAACTAGGGTCATGAAGGTGGGGTGACGTCGTTGTGTTGGTCCAATGACGGCGCACACATTTTCTCCGCGTCAGTTGATGGCACCATTCGAAAGTGGCAGTCGATTGATGGGAAGGAACTCGTTTTTTTCCAGGGACATGCCAATATCGTCGCCTCCCTCTGTATTTCCCCTAGTGAGAGCCATCTTGTTGGCGCAGTAAATCACTGCTCAGCTCGCATCTGGGACCTCAAGACCGATCAGTCAGTTGGAGACCTGCTCTTGCACGACGAAGTCTCGGCTGTTGTCATTTCCCCTGATGGAAGATACATTGCCAGTGCTGGAAAAGACGCCAAAGTCTACATATGGTGCATGGATACAGCTCTCAAACATACAGGCGATGATCATATAAGTGTGATTATGTGATATCAGCGTCTTTTTGAGCAAGTTCGCATTCAGAGTGCAGATGAGAGTAATGCAAAACCCGATGCGAAGCTCAATGCAAATTGTCTGTGTTTCTTTTTCTTGTGGCATCTGACTTCTTTACAAGGAACGTGCGGCTCGACCGAGACATGTACACCAAACAGTTGTGAGCCTCATCCTTTCCTCATTTCATCTCGTTAGATCTCAATCCACGTCTGGTCTCCGAGCAGCAGCCCAACAACAGAGGCTTGGCGAAATATGACAGTGCAGTTTTCCTTCCAGAGCTCGTCCAAGTCTGACATTGATATGCACAGGGCAAGGACTTCTGGGACGCTGATACCAACACCGCACCTCATCGCGCAGCTCCTCCTGCGAGCCCATCGTCTTCCCTTCATTGGCGCAGTTTTTTCGGTTCGCTGCGTTTCAGCACTCGATCTGCAGATGCGCCGCAATCGATACCGCTCCAGCCCCGGCGTTGGAATTTCAGCCCTTTTACTGTAGCAAGCTCTGTACGCACCGTTGATGTAGCTGCCGGTCGCAAGAAAAATGTGAGTGGCTTTCATCGCTCCTTTTTGATATAACGGAAATTCATTCATTTGCAGAGAATTGCCATTGCCCCTCCCACCGCAGCAGAATTGGCCGCGGCAGAAGCAGCTGCAGCCATGCAATATACGAATGGCAACGAGGCCGGCAGTTCGATGCAACCAGGTCAACCTCAGGCTGTACTGGGGACACAAGTGTCTCAAGGACGACCAACGGAAACGCAAGGTGCAGGTGGTGAGACGGGAGAGGTTTCTTATGAAGTAAGGTGCTGCGGATTGTTTTTTAGTTGTGATCGTCCTCCCTCCCATCAGTCATGAGATCATCTTGAAATTCTCTGTTGCTCGATAATTTTTGATCTTGCCTCGTCCGCCTTTGCGGACTGTTCCACACCCAACCAGAGCCGAAGCTAGAACAACACTGTTGTGCATCGTCCATGTATGCATGCTCATCACAGACCCGCCTTCAGACTGTGATCTGCTTCAATACACCAACATAGATAGATGGTACCACGATACATGTAATGGGGATGATGAACTATCTCTCATCCCCATTCGCATGTGCCGACCCTAGGGGAATTATCACTCACGTCATGGAACAAAAAACCGCACGCATGTACTACGTACGTACGGGACTACATACCGTTAAATGAGTGCGATGTCATTGTGAAGGCATTCATATAGCTGTTCAGGTTGGGTACAAGGATAAAATGAAGGGTCAGCAGAGTCTTGGAGTGGTTGTCGTGACAGCGTACTGAATTAGACGAGTCAAGCCACGTCACATTGCACCAGGAGAGTAATTATTATTATGGTTAGGCGTACCGTATGTAATTATGAGCAGTTTGGACCATCGACGAACATGTAGAGTACATCAATGGTAGACTACATCTCCCGTGCTCTAACACAACTCATTCGTCTGCTTTCCCTCCCTGTTGTTTACAGAAATTTCGTCGTCGTCGCCTGTCTTCAAAGAACGGGCACCAGACTCAGATAGATCCTCCAGCACGATCGGGATACTTTCAGCACTTGTAAAAGTCGTAGCCAGAGGGTCGCGAACGCGCTTCCTAGGCTGTGATCCAAAAGTTATGATGGGTATCGGAGTGGCTGGTGAATCTTCTTCTGCCTTTAAGTGGAAGATGAACGCGACAACGACGCTCAAGTTCGCGACGATCAGAGACATAGAAGCCTGAAGCGAGATCAGCAGCGCTCGAGGTCTAAACACTGACACCGCACCTCAACCACAGCAGCCATACCCTCCTTTGTCCCTCCACCAGAGAAGATGTAATAGGCATGGGTGAGACTAACGATTGTGGTGATCGCTGATGCAGAGAAGACAGCTAGTACCCGGACTTTTTGTCCCGTTGATAATCTGATTTTGTAAAGGAGGGAAAAAGGAGCTAAGATAAGAATAAAGTCCCCTAGAACGTCGGCTGAAATACATCAGAAGACCGATGTATCTGATGAACAATGAATCCTCACTGATTATCTGCGCTATCGCAACATCTCTGCCAAGATCGCATTGCGGACGTGGTTGTGTTTTCCAGCCGGACTCAGATTCACAAACCCACCACACTTGTGAAAAAAGTAGAGCCCATGCAATGCCGAAGATAATGACAGCGGACATGAGAGCCCTCCTAAAGATGGTTTTCGGGATTGTGAGTCGCACGATGGTAAACAGTATGGATAGCCTCGATGACCTATGTGTGTGCACGTCAGTTCCGTCATTTTGCCATGTCACTACTAGAGCGTCAGTGTCTTACCATACAATTGCGTAAAAGAATTGGGCAACCCTGATGTGGTATTTGTAACGTTTCTCAAAGCATAAGAAAAGAGAACACACATATAGTATAATGCTACCCTTGCGCCTTGAGGGTATCTTTCTGCGTTTCTTCAGTAAGATGTATGCGATATACACACTGCGGAGACACTCACCGTAGTCTTGCAGATACAAGCAATCGACGATTGATAGTATGAAGGTGAATATCATGCAGAGGGCCGCCCACGCATCGTCGATCCACAGACGTTTATGCCGCGCACGAATACACAAGCGAAAGGATGTGACGATGACAGCCACGATGCTGAGGACAATAGCTACGACTAAAAATAGTATTAACTCCAGCGACGCAACAAGTCAAGCAGCCACTCGCCTTCAATCTGAGCAAGAGTAGGACCTGAGGACGACATAATACGTTTTCTGAGGAAGATGGGCGAACAGCATATATAACCCAAAAAATAAAGGAAGATGCCGCATGATTGACGTATAGATCACTGGTGAGCTTGTTTCATCACATCATTTCGACCCACCACCTGATAGTACTAGTAGTTTCATTACCTCATCTGATGAAAAGGCCGATCAGCTAATGGAAGTCCCCTCAGGCTGGTCGAGCACTTTGTTCGATCAATGACTGCGATTTTGCAGAAGTTGTATGGCATTTTCGGACAGACCGCCCTTCAAGTTGATCTGGTCATCTGTCCAGCGGCAATGTATACGGCTACTTACCTCGACTAGTATTAGCCTTTCCAGAAGCGACATCGAACAGCGTCGAATGAGACTGGAGTAATCCCACGGAGTAATCCAAAGGCAGTCCAGCTCCGAGTAGGCAGGGTGACTGGTCTCAATAATGCTGTCCCTTGTTCTCACCTTCCCTTAGTCACTCCTACCGATTGCCGGAGCGTAAGTAGATGGCTAACTAAATAGAGTTGGCATTCTAGTCATTTATGCCTTTAGAACGCTAACCATGACCGGCACATGGACCTATATTTGACAGTAGTTGCACAATCGTGATTGTTAATACATTGAATCTAATTCCTAGACGTGCAAAATAGGTTGACTCCTTTTCGCGCAATACACTACCTTATAACTATACAACGGGAAGTCAGACGTTAAGCAATAGCGACTGAAATATGCAGAAGGTGATTAGCTAGCTAGTCACTGTATTTGACATCATATTTGACTTTAAACACAGCATTTGTGGCCGATCTACATAATGATTACATGCATATGCCGGGACTCTAAGTACTATGGTGTGCAAGCACACGAGTCACAAGGGAGGTACTCTACACATGTATCCTATAGCTCGGTAATATCCTGGCACCCAGTCTCTAGCTCAGCAGCTCATCCAACAGTAGCAGACGGGTGGCCATGACGAGTACTGCGAGCGTCTTGAAGTCCGACGAGAGTAAGATGTAGTTGTGATTTGGTACTATTGATTTCGTATGCAGGATTTGCAGGGCATGGATCGAGTGCGGTAGCAGGGGATCAAGTTCGACAATAGGATGCAGTTTGGCCATGGGATACAGTTAGCCATGGGATCCATTCAATCGAATTTCGGCCATCAAGTCGAGTTTCCTAATACTATGGGATCGCTCCCATACTGTCAAAGCCAAGTTCCCTAGACAGACGAGCTTAAAAATCGTGGACCAGGACTTGTCGAGAAAGGAAGTAGTGTTAATGAGTGAGCAGAGGTAAAGCAGGCGATTATGTAGGTACAGAGCACCGGGGTGCAAAGAATGTCCGATAGAGTCCGATAACAGGTAACGAGCTGTTTCTTGTGAATCACTAGAGGATATACTTGGTGAGTGGTGACTGAGGTCTTGACTCGCTCTGCCGACATGTACCTCATTTACTTTGAGATCCAGGAGCCGAAATGTTTCAGAATAGGAAGAATTGAATGATCAAAGTTAGGAATGGAGCAGGGTTGCAGGGTGAGAAGGCTGTGAGAGTGGCGGACAACAAAAACGACCTGGGAACCAAACCGCTTAGCTTTGCTTAGTAGAGGGGAATTCAGTTCTCGATGTACTTACCTGAAACCGAACTCACCTACCAAACCAGTATCTTGGAGTTTGACTCGGAATGTCAGTTCAGGACAATGACTTATATAACGACCGTATCAATTGACTTTGAATGAGAGCCGAATGCAGGACTCCTACTAGTAGACCTGAGAGACCAATTCATCAGTGCGGCTACTAAATTGAGTATAGTCCCAACCTTTCAATGCCATGGTAGAGAACGAGGGAAAAGAGGCTGAAGAGCGGTCACATAACAGTATGCATGATCAAACAGTACAACATTTGAGTCAGTGGTCTCTCGGCGCAGGAAATTGACAGGATATGCACAGACTGGCGATGCTACTAGTACATCTCGGTGGGTGAGGCCAGATGCTTGACTGCATCCGAGTCCTTGACGGAACACCGGTAGAAGCTAGAAATTTGATATGGGGTGATAATGGTTCATCGCAAAGAAAGTAAAAGACAAAACAGACCAAAAGCCCATAGTTTGATTTGTGTCTTAGAAGCGCGATGTAGAATACTTTGAACTTGATTAGTTGATCTCGGCTGACTCAAATCTGCAATGTTGTCAATAAAGATATCATCAGCAGGGTGTCTGTAAAGCGGCGCATGGAGCCTCTTTTGGTCAAGGTGGTGTCCGATGAACCGATGCTGCGACCGAGGACGAAGAGACCGTTGAGGGTCCCAACCTTGGTGTATTCGTTGGCTACTTGGGGGTGAAGACATTGCTATCGCGCAGGGGGAAGCAGACAGCGATACAGCTGTCGATGTTGAGGATGAGCTAGGGGGTGTTGGTTTTGGTTTTGGTTTTGGTCTTGTGAGAAATGGGGGGACGTACGGTATCGTTCTTGCTTGTGGTTACTTCTCAAAGGCAAGCGCGCAGTCAAGAAGTAAGCGGCTTGAAAAGTTCTTCCTCATGCATTCCTTGACGAGCTCGACACGGAGATCGGAGTTGTTCACCGTTTTGATCTTGTGGCCGATACCAGAGACAGTTGTGCCCGTCAGTCAGTCTCGAGTTTACAACGGATTCCAAAAGAACCGGACGAAAAAAGAGAAATACTCACCGAGCTTATTTGCCTTCCTAGAATTGTCCACAAACTCCCTGGATGTCAACCCCATATCCCTGGCCCCACTAAACATACTCGCAGCCTCATCAAGCGCCCCATCGAACCGACTTCCAATGGTCAACGAACTAGCGCCCATTTATAATGCATGGGAATCACAGGCAGCTCGACTTCTTTAGTGGGGATGATAACGCCCTGCGCGACAAGGGCCTCGTGTGTGCTTTTCAGAACAGCAGGGACCTCCTCGAAGGTAGCGGGCACGATGAAGCCTACCTCGTATGTAGCCCTGTTCTTAGCAGCAGCAGTCCCGCTATCACTGTGGGCCATACTCCCTGCGTGTCTGAACTGCACCTCGGTGGTGAACATGCTTGCGCAGGTCCTGATCGCCCATGCAACAATGGGTTTCTTGATCTTGCCAGATTTGACAGCTTCGATGACATGGTATTCTTCGACACCGCCGACTTGACCAGAGGACGAGCATTTTTCATCCGAAGTCAGCTTCGTAGCGGAGGTGGTCGATCAAGGTTGAGCCAGGGTAACGGTCACCGTCAATGGCGATACCTTTGTAGGTGCCGTTTGTGACGAGGCTGTGAATGTTGTTGAGTTCGTTGGACATTCCTCCGGATTGGAGATGTAACTGATGCTGCCGGGGCGGTAGAGCTTGAAGGCGACGATGTTGTCCATCACGCTGTAGGTGAAGATGTCCAGGTCAGCGCGAGTCAAGCACAGAGGAGCAAACGTACCCTCCAGAATTGCCGATCCTGAAGCAACCAGGTTTGATCTCACCAACAGTAGCAGGGACGATAATAAACACGCCCTTCTCCTTTGCCTTCCACAGAATCTCCCTTGCCTGGCGTTCTGGCACACTCTCGGCGATCAATGCAATGGTCTTGATACTCTCATAGCCCAAACATTCCATTGTACTGCTATACACACTTCTGCTGGACGCAAAGTTGATGACTAGATCGACGTCGGGGTGCTTCTCGACAGCTTCTTCAAGAGAGGTGTATACAGGGAGAAGAGTGTCGCGTGTGCCCCAGTAGAATTTCTGGATGTGTGTCCACCAAAGGGGTAAATCATAGCTGCCAAACTCGGACGGGCGCGCTTACAACTGCAATTGAAGTCCGAACATTCCCTGGATGGCACGTGGTCGGAGACCATAGATGAAGCTTCGGGTGTCTTCGTTGAAGGGCCTGTATGTGGGCCTGGAGCCCTTGGTACCGTCGGCAGGAATCGAAGCGGACGACAACATCGTTGGGCCGTCTGCATGGATGGTTCCCACATTGCTGGCCCCGGGCTCGGGAGCTGCGGGTGAGATCTTGGGGATGCCGGGTGCGACAGCGGGGATGCTTGTGAGTGCTGTCGAGCTTGTTGTGGATTTGAGGCCGAGGGCAATGGGCATGATTTTCGGTGATATGGGTATCGGGGCCGAAGACACGGATGGGGATGCCGAGGGGTTCGTCTGTGTTTGTGTTAGTGTATGCGCGTTTATAGATACTTGGTGGGACGAACCAAGTAGACGGATGGCTTTAAGACCTGCTTGCCAGTTGGGACCGCTATGACGGACATAGATCTTGGCATTGTGTGCACTGAGTTGAGGTTGTAGGATGTAAATGCCTGGATAATGCCCTTGAAGGTTGGAACTGCATTGGTGAAGTTTGCGATACCAGGAGGATCTTGCCATCAGGGCGGGGAGGTGGGCGCGTGAGTAGGTCGACTGTATGTACATTAGGGATATGTAATTGAAGATTTGAGATACGTACGGATCGTCTTTGCGTATTCGACTCTCTGACCCTCGCTTGGTGCACTATTCACCATATTTGGCGAGTTCATGTGCGAAACCGGCTGCTGCGATGGTATCGTTGTAGATGATGGACGCTGCGACCATTGTCCAGACGCGACCGGTGGGGTTGAGGACGGTGAGCTTGAGAGAAGCACAAGTTGAAGGATCAAGGTTATTGAATGTATGCTATGTAAAATGAGTACGACACAATGATCATGGACAGAATACGCACCTTCTTTCTTTGAGAGATCTCTACCGAATGGACATTTACCGGTACCTTTGAGCCCTAATTAATGGTAGATGCAGCTGGAGCGACCTCGTAAACTTTCAAGTCTTGTGCGACAGCCCACTTTGGGCCGCAGATGCTCTCGGCAGTCTGATCGAGCTTTACAGTCAGTGGATGGAGTCGTCATCAAGGACAACCAAAGGATTGATCTCGAGGTGACTAAAGTGGAGATCTACGTACATAGATGGAGTCTAACGGGGAGGACTTCTTTCTTGTGCACTGGGGTTATCTGGAGATATCGATCAGCGCGGCTTAGGAAAGGACCGAGGACGGGAGTCAACATGACGTGATATAATTAGAAATGCAGTCGGTTATTTTACAATTGACCGGTGTGCTGTTCACAGTATCTTGACGCTCGCGTAATGTACAGCAATCGATAGAACTGCCCCGACGTTCGAAAGCACTGCCGGCGAAACGCAGTGCAAAAGCACGCCTTGCAAATACAGCATGCACAACTAACTACTTATCTAGCAGTCTCTTCGTCACTTCCGCCTTCTCTCCTCGCCCTCGACAATTCAGTCTCCATACTACTGAGCTCTGTCAACGCGTCTGTAAAGACTGCGGTAATTAAAAACTTTCTTCGCCAGCGTTATGGCCGAGTCAAGCACATCAGCACAACAGAGAGAAGGAAAACGAGGAGTGACGTTGAACTCACCGGTAGTTAGCACACCTCGCCGGACGAAGGAGAAGGATCCACCACGCTATGGTGCACAATATCGCCAGGATGCACTATGGGAAGGTGAGTAACTGCATTTTGATGCCTACTGACCGACTCAACAAGAAGCAGGCGGAAATGAAGCGCTTCCTCCTCAATGGTGGCAGTATGAGTCGTTGAATGGTGAAATATTATATCAAGATAATGCACTCGTAATGGTTTCATGGAACCTACCTTTACCAGGGGTGCGACTAGGTGAGACTGAAGAATGTGCCACTAGACACGAGGAACTCATGGTGAAACATAGATCATACCCGACAACTCGTTCCCGGATGCGAATGGCACATCTCACCACTCGGTCGGTCCTACTTCGTCAATCACAATACCAGGACCACATCGTGGAAGAAACCAACGCCTGAACGTCCACCAGGGAGCTTGGCGCCGGAGTGTGTAATCGAGGCTCATTCCAAAATCATTTGGAATCTTGCCTGCTTGGGCACCAGTTGCAATATACTGAGCGCAGTCAAGCGATGGTTCAATTCGTCAGTGGACAAGAGATGGAGAACCAGTGGGGAGGCCTTGGAATAGTGACGGGTAGAGCCGTGTAGCCTCAATGGCAATGTCTCCAGATGAATCAATGGCTGTGAGCGGAAGCTCAGATGGCAGGCTACGGCTATGGAACATCAGGAAGGGCAGCGTGGTTGGTGACCCGTGGGAGGGGCATGACGGTCCAGTGACGTGCATTGATTGGTCTCCCAATGCCCAGGAGATAGCAAGTGGATCGCAAGACGGCACCATACGACGCTGGAACCCGGATACTGGCCGACAAATAACACCACCCATAGAGACTGGCCAAGGGAGCGTTTGGGCTGTCAGATACTCTCCACAAGGGGACAAATTCACGAGCGGTGGGGAGGACAAGGTGATCTGTGTGTGGTCAAAGGACGGCGAGCTGCTTATGGAGATCAAGGGCCATGACAGCAATGTGATGTCATTGTGTTGGTCCAAGGATGGCGCACACATTTTCTCCGCGTCACTCGATGGCACCATCCGAAAATGGCGGTCGATTGATGGGAAGGAGCTCGTTGTTTTTCACGGTCATGCCAATTCCGTCGACTCCCTCTGTCTTTCCCCTGATGAAAGCCATCTTGTTAGCGCATCAATGGACTGCTCAGTTCGCATCTGGGGACCTCAAGACCAATCAGCCAGTCGGAAACCCGCTCTTGCACGACGACTGAAGTTTTAGCTGTTGTCATTTCCCCTGATGGAAAATATATCGTCAGTGGTGGATTGGACGCAAAGATATATGTATGGAGCCTGGATGCAGCGCTCAAACATACAGGCGATGATCGTGTGAGTATGTTATTATTCGTTGCCAGTGTCTTTTCTAAGTGGGCTTGGTGATCGTTCAGAGTGCCAAATGCTAGCAATGCAAAACCCGATTGCGAAGCTCAAGGTAAGTCGTCTGCTACTTCGCTTTTCGCGTGTATCTCACTACTTGAACAGGGACGTCCAGTTCGATCAAGAGATACCGTGCGCCATTCAGTTGTGAACACCTTAATCATTTGCTTTATTCCTTCGTTAGATCTTGCACGCTAGTCAGGTCTCCAGGCAGCAGCCAAACAACAGACTCGGAGGCTTGTCGAAATATGTCAGTATAATCTCTTGTTTATTTGCTCTTGAAACTCTAACATTTCTATAGGGCAATGACTTCTGGGACGCTGGTACGAACCCCATGTCTCATACCGAAGCTCCTCCTGCGAGCCCATCATTTGGCCTTCGTTGGCGCAATTTGCTGGGTTCACTGCGTTTCAGCACTCAACCTCTAAACGCGCCACAGTCAATACCGCTCGAGTCCCGACGGTGGAATCTTAACTTGTTTTCAGGAGGAAGTTCTATACGCACCGTCGATGTAGCTCTTGCTCAGGATGAAGATGTGAGTGCTCGACACTGCCTGTATTCGGCCCTCTTAACAAATTTACAGAGATATGGCATTACCCCTGAGACTGACGCCGAAGCGGCCGCAGCTATGCAACGTACAAACAGCAACCAGGCTGGCAGTTCAACGCAACCAGGTCAATCTCAGGTTGTGTCGGGGACACAAGTGTCTCAAGGGCAACCAACAGGAACACAAGGCTCGAGTGGAACGGGAGAGGTTTCCTATGAAGTTAGGTGTTGCGGATTGTTTTTTAGTTGTGGTCGTCCCAGTTCGCATCAGTCATGAGGTTATCTACTAAACTAGTTGCTTTGATGTTTTTCTCCTGCAGTTGTAGGCTTTACAGACTTCGTACCCAGGTATACACCTCGTGAGCATTTCATTTTACTTGTCCTTGTAGATGAATGTCATACAGCTTCCCAAGTTTACAATATCATTACCGTTTTCAAATGAGTGGGGAATCTTTGAAGCTCGGGTGTCATCGAGAACACGAAGACGAAAGGTAGTTCTACAGCAGACTTCATTAACATACTAGTCTCCTGTAGACATAGTCAGACGAAAGAACTTTAGGACGGACGTTAGCATTCACACTAATTTGTACAGACACGTGTAGAATTGGTCGGGGATCTTACATTTGACCGACGCGCTATTCACGCCATCTTCATATCGTAACGCTCGCTGATGCAATTTCATATAATGCACAGCAATCTATAGAACTGCCCCGATATGCGGTTGAAGCAGGTGCCTGCAAATACAGCATGCACAGCTGACTATCTAGCAGGTCTCTTCGCTACTTCCACTGTTTCTCCTCGCCCTCGACCGACAACAATTCACTTTCCGTACTACCGAGCTCTATCAACGTGTCTGTAAAGCTACTGACATCTCAAAACTTTCTTCATCGGCGTCATGGCTGAGTCAAGCACATCAGCACAACGGAGAGATGGAGAACGAGGAGTGACGTTGAACTCACCGGTGATTAGCGCACCTCGTCGGACGAAGGAGAAGGATCCGCCACGCTATGGTGCACAATATCGCCAGGATGCACTTTGGGAAGGTGAGTAAACTAAATTTGGATGCCTACTGACTTACTCAACAAGAAGTAGGCGGGAATGAAGCGCTTCCTCCTCAATGGGCATCAGTATAAGTTGCTTGGATGGTAGAACTACTATATCAAGATGATCACACTCGTAATGGCTTCGTGGAACCGACCTTTACCAGGAGTGCGACTAGGTGAGCGAACTTGAAGAATGTGCCACTAGCACGAGGAACTCATGGTGAAATATAGATATTCCCGGACAGCTCGTTCCCGGATGCGAATGGCACATCTCACCACTTGGTCAATCATACTTCGTCAATCACAATATCGGGACACAATCGTGGAAGAAACCAACGCCTGAACATCCACCAGGGAGCTTGGTGCCGGAGTGTGTCATCGAGGCTCATTCCAAAATCATTTGGAGCCTTGCCTGCATGGGCACCAGTTGCAATATACTGAGCGCGTCACGCGATGGTTCAATGTGTCAGTGGACAAGAGACGGAGAGCCAGTGGGGAGGCCTTGGAATGATGACGGGGTAGAGGTAGCCTCGATAGCAATCTCTCCAGACGAATCAATGGTCATGAGCGGAAGCGCAGATGGCAGGTTACGGCTATGGAACATCAGGAAGAGCAGCATGGTCGGTGACCCATGGGAGGGGCATGGCGGTCCGGTGAGGTGCATTGATTGGTCTCCCAATGCCCAGGAGATAGCAAGTGGATCGGAAGACGGCACCATACACGCTGGAACCCAGGATACTGGCCGACAAATAACACCACCCATAGCAGACTGGCCAAGGGAGGGTTTGGGCTGTCAGATACTCTCCACAAGGGGACAGATTCACGAGCGGTGGGGAGGACAAGGTGATCTGTGTGTGGTCAAAGGACGGCGATCTGCTTATGGAGATCAAGGGCCATGACAGCGAGGTGATGTCATTGTGTTGGTCCAAGGATGGCGCACACATTTTCTCCGCGTCAGGCGATTGCACCATCCGAAAAGTGGTGGTCGATTCGATGGGAAGGAGCTCGTTGTTTTTCAGGGTCATGCCGAATTCCGTCAACTCTCCCTCTGTCTTTCCCTGATGAAAGCCATCTTGTTAGCAGCAGCGAGGGACTACTCAGTTCGCATCTGGGACCTCAAGACCGATCAAGCCTGTCGGAAGACCCACTCTTGCACGATGATGAAGTCAAGGCTGTTGTCATTTCCCCTGATGGAAAACATATTGTCAGTGGTGGATTGGATGGAAAGATACATGTATGGAGCCTGGATGCAGCACTCAAACATGCGGGCGATGATCATGTGAGTGTGTTTATTCATTGTCAGTGTCTTTTCTAAGTGGGGTTTGGTTACCGTTCAGAGTGCAAATGATAGTAATGCAAAACCCGATGCAAAGCTCAAGGTAAGTCAGCCGTGTTTCTCTTTCTTATGATATCTTATTTCTTTACCAGGGACGTCCAGTTCGACCGAGAGATACCGTGCGCCATTCAATTGTGAACACCTTGATCATTTGCTTATTCGCTCGTTAGATCTTGCACGCAAGGTTTGGGATGTTTGGTCCAGAACTCCCAATTTTTAGTGAGTCATGTAGCGCTCGGTATGTAAAGATCTGAAATTTTTTTGATAGGTCTTTGTTCTTTCTGCTTGTCCATATGGTGCCGTCCGTTTCTAGGCTATTTGATATGCTCTCAATGGCGTGTCGGGCTCGGTCGAGGAGGCCAAGCATCGAGTGTTTGTATTCGGCATCTGATGTCGATATTATTTGTTTATATGCGGATGCTTGTGTTAACTTGGTTAGTTTCGCGCCTTTAAGGTTGAAGTTTGGTGGGATGATGTGTCTAGTTGGTTGAGTGTATCTTTCCTGGCTCCTTATCCAGCGAGTTTATCTGCTTCTTCATTTCCTTTAATGCCATTATGTCCTTTTATCCATCTGAAGGTCGTCGTTGCTGATCTTTTTCTCAGGTGGTATGCAGTGGCTTTGAAGATTTCGCTATTTTTTACGTTTATCCAGCCTCGGTCTTCTCATTCTTTAAGGTGGCATGTCAGGCCTTCTATTGCATATTGTGAGTCGGTTATGATTGTTACTGGGGTTAGTGGGTTGATGTCCTGTAGTCCTATTAGGATGGCCGCTATTTCCCCTGCTTGGTTAGATTGCGTTTTCCCGGGGATTCTTATGGATTTGTTATTTGGGTGGTTCTCTCTGATCCATATTCCACTTCCACATCTTGCGTTTTCTTTTCCGTTATTGATGCAGGAGCCGTCTGTGTATATTTCAGTTGGTGGTGTCTGTATGCCCCTCCCTTGTCTCAGTCTTTGAAGGTGGTGAGCTGGTATTTGTTGGGTTTTGTTGCTGTCGCTAAAGATCCTAAAACATTCTGCTAGGTCCGTTTTTTCGGTGACTGATGGGTCGAATATTATATCTCCTCTGCGTTGGGTCAGGGCCCTTGAGTTTTTTTCTCGTCGGTGGTGTGTTAGTGTGAGGTCGTCACTTGGCGGGGTGTTGAGAGGGCTGAATATTGGGGTGAGTTTTGTTAGTATTGATGACGCTGCTAGCATGCATTTTTGTGGGTTTTTGCACCCTGCTAATCGATCGTCTATGCATAGGGTGCAGGTACAGTTACCTTTTGCTTGGTGATGTTTTTCGTTAAGTGGTCTACCGTTTAGTTTCATGAGGTCCTTTACTGATCTTATTCCGTGGTTGTGTTGCAGGCATGAGTCTCTCAGTTTTTTGTATGTTTTTGGCGGTGCACCAAGATGCAGCCATGCTGGGAGTTGTTTTTTGAGTGGTTGTGATAATTTTACCGGTGCGAAGCTCATGTTATATAATTTTGCTGTTTTTAACATGGTAGTTATCTCTTTTGGTAGCCGGTTTGCGCGTGGAGCTTGTGTTGGTGGGGACCATGATGTGAGGATGGCTGTTATATTGTTCATGTCTTTTATCCCTTCCGGTCTTAGGGTGTTGATTAATGCGTCGGTGACGTATGCCCACGCAGGGCGGTTAGGTGAGATATTTACGTAGGCTTTCAACCATGTTAGACTGATTGCTTTATTTCTTGTCGCTATGTCTAGTATCTCTAGGCCCCCTTCGTTTTTTTGGTCTTTGGAGGCGTTTCAAACTTATCGGTGTGGATTTTGCTTTGTCCCATATGAAGCTTCTTATGATTTTAGTGATTGCAGATTCGATTTGTTTTGGCATGCCTTGAGCTTTTGTAAGGAATTGCGTCATTCCTCCCACAAACATTTGTATTATTAGACGTTTCTCGTCTAGTGTTGGGTGACCTTTGTTCCATTGTTGGAGGGTAGCTTCTATCTTATCCAGTATTGGTTCCCAAGGTGCTGCATCTTCTAATTCATTTCCTATCCATGCTCCTAGTGACCTTACAGGTGTTCCATCTTGTGTTATTCTTATGGCGGTGTCCCAGGGATTGTCCTCCTCATTTAGCTTTCTGGATTCTATTGTTTTTGTTCTATGTTGTTTAGTTCCGATCGGTAAGATTTCTGTTTTTTCTAGGTTGAACTTGGCGCCTGATGCTATGCACCAGTTTTTTAAGATGTCTTGGAGGTCCTTGTATTTGTCTCCTTTCTTTAGGTATACCGTGGTGTCATCTGCATATAGGTTGACTATTATTCTTTGTGCGAGGCCAGGTATGTTGTAGCCTTGTAGTTTCGTTGAGTTTCGTAGGGTGCATGCTAACGGTTCTATTGCTAGGTCGAAGAGTAGGCAGGACAGGGGGTCCCCTTGTCTAACTCCTCTTGTTACTTTGAATGGCTCGCTCATGAATCCGTTTATAGCTACCTTTGTATGTGCGTTTTCATATAGTGTTCGGACCGATTTGATAAATCTTTCCGGTAAGTTGAATTTCATTAGTGTATCTATTAGGTAGTCATGGCTTATTTTGTCGTAGGCTTTCTCTTGGTCTAGAGCAACAATCACACCGTCCTCCTCCATGACGTCTGCATACGCCGTCATCATTTGTGATAGTCGGATCGGGTCAAAGATTGATCTCTGTGGTATAAATCCACTTTGATCTGGGTGAATCATGTTCTTTATTACTTTTGCGAGTTGCATTGCTAGTGTTTTGGTGAGTAGTTTGTAGTCTGTATTTAATAGTGTGATTGGTCGGTAATTTTCTATTTCAGATTTGTCCTTTTTCTTATATAGGGGGCACATCCAGCCTAGTGCGAAGTTTGATTCTTTTGATGTTCCATGTTTTTGTATATCGTTTAGGACTATAGTGAGTGTTTTTATGACATCAAAGCCTGGTTTGTCGGTGTCTTGTCTTTTTTTGTTCGTTTCATATAGTATCTTCCATGCTTCATACGGGATTCCGTCTATGCCGGTTGCGCTTCCTGCTTTTGACGAGTACAGCGCTTCTTTTACACTGGATTCTAGGATGAGTTCATTCAAGGGGCAAGAAGGTGCGTTTAATTTCTGTTCTTCCGGGATTTCATTGAGGGTTTCTCTTATTGCTTCGCTCCTTCGTCTGTTTTCTTCCAGGTGGGTGTGTATTTTTTGCAGGTTCTCGTGGTAGGTCTTTGCTATTTTCGGCCATTTCCTTTGACTTATGTGTGAGTCTGTTCGTTTGTGGGTTTCATAGTCGGTGTATGATGTCTCTTGGTTTTTTTGGATTGTTTACCTTTGTCCAATATTTACTGATTGTTTCGCCTTGAAGGGACCATTGCGCTTGCGCTTTCAGGTGTGCACTTTTCTGTCTCTTTCTCTCAAGGTGTTCGATTTCCTTTTCTAGAATTGTTTTGTTCTGACGTCGGTTTACAGAAGAGTCGATGTTTGGTGCATTGGATGTCTTGTGGATGTCTTTCTGTAGTTGTTTGATTTTGTTGTTGATTTTCGCTAGGTGGGATTTCGTTGTTTGTTTTACTAGATTGTTCATGTTTATTTTAAATTCTTCCCATAGGTAGAGGGGGTTTTCAGTTTCTGTGCGGTTTCCGGGTATGTTCATCTTTTCTATGTCGTTCTGTAGCTTAATGCCTATTTTTTCTATCTTTTCTATTAGTGGTTTGTCTGATAGTATGCTCAGCGGCCACGTCCATCTACCTCTTCCTATGTGCGGTAGACCTGGTGGGGCGAATCTTACGAGGGTGATATTGTGGTCTGTGGGTATGGGGCAAAGGTATGTTTTCCAGTCTGAAACGCTGTCTGAGTGAGCGGGTGATGTGTATATTCTGTCTAGGTGGGACATGGAGTTAGTGTTGCTTGTGAATGTGAAGAGCCTTGTTGTCAGGTGAGTGTGTCTCCAGGTATCTTGTATATTCATGCTCGTTCTGAATTCTCTTAGTGCCTCTATGGCGTATTCTGTGTCAAATCTTGCTGGTGCTCGGTCTAGGGGGTCTTCGGTAACATTGAAATCTCCCATCATAAAATCTATTAGTCCTAGGCCGTGGCTTGGCCAAAGCGTTTTAATTGTGTTCCAGAAGTTTGGGTGTTCAGAGTGGTTGTTAGGGGCGTATATGTTGAGTATTCTTATCGTCTTTTCATTATGCCAGTTGATTGTTAGGGCAATGGCCCTTCCAGGGATTATAACCGTCATTTTAGCGTTGTTGATGTTGACTTTCTCTTTGTTGATGATGAAAGCTATCCCTGCTGAGCTGCCAGGGTGGTTTGGTTCTCGGGAATTGAGAACAAGTAAGCGTCTCGAGAATAATGATTCTATTTGTTTTTCATGTTCGTCGGACAGGTGGGTCTCTTGTATACATAGTATCCCTATCTTATTATCTCTTACGGTTTTATTTATTATAGGCCATTTTGATGTCATGTTAGTTCCCAAGGTTGGGGATGCTCTTCCTTTTACATTTAGAGATGCTAGGGTGATGTTCGCGTGGGTACATTTTTTTCTGTTTGTGTATATTGTTTGTTGATTCGCGGGCATTTGGTATGGTAGGTGGCTGTTTGCATTGTCGTTCCTGGTGGGGATTTGTGGTGTTGTTCTGTGTCAGGGAGTTGTGTTTGTGGGCTGGGTGCTTCCTTGGTTGAGGTTGTTTGTTGGGGGGCTTGTGGCTTGTTGTGTGGGGTTGTCGGTGTGTTGAGTGTGGGGACGAGTGTTGTGTTCGTTCCTGGTGGGGAACTGATTGAGTTCCTGCTCTATGCAGGCGGTTCCACTTCCAAAAACCCGTGAGCAGTCATCAGGTGGCCTCCAAGTGGTCCGAGGTGGGCCACCATCGCACTCAGGGGGGCGAGTACCAAGACCAGTGAAGAGACCGTACTGTGGGGGGTTAAGGTGTGTGTTGGGGGTGATCGGACTACTATACTACTGTACGATCATATTGTAGCATAGAATTGACATATCCTGGCCAATTGGCAGTGGACTATGTTAGCATTTTCGGGTGATGTTAATGCTCAGGACATTAAAATCGCCTACTAGTGAAAACTTGAGCCTCTCAGCATGGCTCGTCCGAACCTAAATAGGTTTCCGTGTTCTGGTATGCACCATGCTGGTCAAGACGACCTACGCTTTCCTGTCTCATTTGCATGATCAGTAAATGTGGGCATTGGGTCTGGTGATGACGATTCGAGTCTTGTTCGAAACTGTCTGGCTATCCGACGACTTGTGTACCCATTAGGTTCCAGGCCTAAGTTAGAGTCGTCGTGGCAGGGTGTTGATTCATGTTTTGGGCAGAAAATGACTGGGATTGGTACAAGGGCTAGGTGGGTGAATGGACTAGGAGGGTCAAGGTACATAGTATGGACTGGTGGGAGGGCTATGTAGTATCTTGGTGTGGTTCTAGTATGTGCGAGATCTTCTGCTTGTGGAGGATGACAGCTAATAGTATGTACTTAGGTGTTGTGCCCGGGCTTTCCGCCTCTAAATCTACCTGTTTGGCGAGGTTGGTTGACCGTGTTTCGGTTCCCCGATTTTGGGCCGTTCCAGAGTGGGACAAGCGGGAAAGGGCAGAGTCCTCTTGGATGGGTAAGGGAGTGACATATCTGGCAGGGGAAGAGGGGTGTTGTTGACCCACAGCCATTGAGGCCTGTGGGGTATTTGAGGGCGTGTAGGAGGCTTCTCAGGTTTGTCCAGGTTTTGGCATCATTGGTGGGACTAATGGCGAATATGTTAAAGCGTGGTACTGAGAGTCCTCCTGTGATCTTGAAGTGGAGGAGCTCGGCGCGTGCAGACTCGATCAAGTCTCGCGCGGCTTTGTATATTTGTTCGTCGTCGGGCAGCCCGCATTTGAGAGGCAATCTTTGATTTGGCACCTGATCTCGTCTTGAGACCAGACCTCGACCACGGTTTGACGGACGGTGTCTGCGTTGAGGGTAGTGAAGCCGGAGAGGCAGAAGAGAAGTTCTGGGGGGTGGGAGCAGTTAAACAGCAAGGCTTCAAACGTTATATCTGTTGTGGACCAGATACGTTGGCTCAGGATTAGATTCATGGTCTCTTCTGATACTTGATGGACTAAGAATCCGGTTGGTTGATCTCTAGATCCCTTACCGCCTTGGGGTTGGGGGGGGGAGACACAAACAGGTGGGGCGTCTTGGCTAATGAATTCGGCTATTGTTGTTATACTGGCCCAGATGCGTTCTGCGATGATTGCAGCTTGTTCAGCGACGTCTTTTCCGGAGTAGTCGAAGACTCGAATCATGAATTTGGGGTGCCCGACTTGGAACCATGCGAGTAGGACCTTGGTTTCTAAGTGGTCAAAAATTTGAGCCGAGTGGGACATGTGCACTTTTGGAAAGCCCCTGTTTGGGGTGGGGGTGAACTGGGGAAGGGTTGAGCGGTTGTTGAGGCCGCTTTGGCTTAGTACCGATCTGTTCATTTCCGCCAATTCCAGGTGAGCTAGAATGGCTTGTTCTTCGGCAGTTTGTGTGTGTCCGGAGTTTGGGCTTGGTGGGTTGCACATCATTTGGTCGTCTGCAGGGTTTCCCAGGGCATGAATAGAGCTCCCTAGGTCACTGTGGGTGCCGTCGTCGTTCTTTGGTCCCGACCTTATTACGTTAAATTCTCAGTATATGAGTAGGTCGGGATTCAAGGGGTTTACGTGTTCTACCCGTGGGGTAGGGGTCGGTGTGTCTGGGGGGGAAGGTGGGGAGGGAGGGGAAGGTGGGTCAGGTATCGTGCCTAGGAGGTCTAGAGTGCTTTCCATGTTATCATCTTCTTGGAGGGTGTTCGGCGGGAAGTATTTTGGTCCAGCCCGTGGGGTTTGGGATGTGGGACGGGTGTGATGGGGTATGGGTGGGAGGCTTGAGACATGGTTTTTAGGGAGGTGGGTTCCTTATCTTTCATCTCTGGGTGGACGAGGTTTTGAGTGGTATTCGGGGGGGATTTATAGCACATTTTCAAGCGCAGATTTTGGGGGTGGGGGTATTCTGTGAGTCGGCTGTTTATGTCGGGGACTCCATCGTGGCCGGGTTCATCTAGTTTTAATGATACGCTAGGACCTATTAGGTTTTGTGATTCTGTATCAGTTCTCAGGAGGACTTTTAGCGGGGTGGTGGTTTGGGGTTCGTTGTTGTGTTCCTTGCTGTATTTTACGTCTGGGCGTGGTTTCACTTCCAGTTTTTACCTTGTTTTGATGGTTGGTTGCTTTGCTTTGTCGTGCTAGAGGTATGTGGGTGTGATTTGTTTACGTTGTGTTTGACATGGGATTGTACGTTGTGTAAGGTGTGTGCAGGTTTGTGTGCTTAGCTTTCATGTGTTTTTAAAGGGCTTACTCGTGTAGTTTTTGGGGGGAGTCGTGTTTTTGTTCGTGGTTCATGGGTTATATTTTATTGAGATCAGGGTTGTGTTAGATGTGTTGTGGCCAGTTGTTATTCTGTGAGCCATTGTAGCTCGACCTTGCCAGCAATTTTTCGTGCGTGGGAAATTCTGTCCATGGTGGTGGTACAGAGTCAAGGGCCTCCACACAGGTTTCTGTTTGATATGGATCACAGAATCAGTTTAGATTGGTCTGGTAATAATAGAATATCTTACCGCACAGTGATCTTTGGGCTCACCCGCATTGGCTTGGTGCTTGGCTGGTGCTTCTTGATGCTATTAGGCTTCGAGTCGCCGACTACGATCCGTGGTCTTCATTTGTTCAGTATGAGTCGTTCCAACTGAGTTTCACTTTCACAGCTAGTGAAACTGCATCGGTGTTCGATTGGACCTCTGGCACGGAGACTGGTGTGTTCTCATTGGAGGGCGGTATCATAGCAGAGTGGGATTCAGAAGGCTGGAGAACCAATAGAAGTCGGAGGAAGTTGCTGTGGAATAGGTCTGGGCTGAGGTTTGAGAACAAGATTAGAACTAACCGGTTCATGCTGGTGACCATTTGCTTGCCAATCAAGCACACACAGATTACTACGAAAACAGATCAGAAAATACTAGTACTGTGATATCAACTAAGACGTACCAAGGCATTACTTTCGTGCCAATACGCATTGGTTTTACACTTGGCTGATGAGTCTTCTTAGCAGGTGCAGGAACTACAAGCAGCTCTTTCTTGACCGAGAGCGATGTACGAAAAATATGGCACTTACCTCATTCTCTTGATCACAAGATTCAATGCAGGGAATCTCGGAACTTATTGAGGCTGGTGAAGGTGAGTCTGGGAGGCTGGAATGAACACTCGTAGTACTGCCAGTTCACTATTTTTTCAGTGCTGGTATTGGTTGAACTTTGACATCAGGAGATGACAGCTCGTTTCAGGGGATTAGAGGGGGCAGTGGCCAATATATCTGGGATCTCAATGGAGGACTCGTGAGTTTCAGGTGTCGTGTCAATGTCATCAGGAGCGCACCAGCAATCAGTCCAGTAGACGGGATTGTTGTGAATGACAATCCACGAAACAAGTCCAGCTCACTACTAGGAGGTGAGCTGCAAAAAGAAAATATTGCCCCACGCCAACAATCTGAATTCTTCGAGCTTAGCTCTGGCTTTGCTTTCGTTGAGCTCGACACTGCCATTAAGTTAAGTTCTTCCTCCAACCAGGCAAAGTAACAGGTTAGGGCAGTCCCATTGCGAATGTAACAGCACCTGAACTAGGGAGGGTGAGTGCCGCACTCGTTCAATCAGGGGAGGTAAGGGATGAGAAGGATGAGAGAGTGAAGGACTGCTGTAGCTTAGTTTGATGATTTGAAAACGAATAGATTTCATGTGCGCGATGCTACCGTGACTGGTTAATGAAGCGTGGAAGATGAGATTGGTTTGAGTGAAGTAGAGAGATTAATCAGTGTGATAGAAAGACCAGTGACCAAGGAAACATAAGGGAGAGGCACAAAGAACTAGCAAGGACTGAGGAGCCCCTTCAGTGACAAATCCCGTATTATACGGGTCACCCGACCTACATAATATCCCGTGTAATACGGGCCAGCGGATTATGGGCCGATGTTATGTATATACCCGATGTTGACAGGTGGGCCGGGAGGAATATTATTTCCGATGGAGACGGGTGGGCCCATCTATGCTGATGTTATATATATCATCGATGATAGCAGATGGGCCGGGAGAAATATTATTATGGAGATGGGTGGGCCCATGTGGGTAATATGTAGAGTAGGATTGACATATATTATAGACCTGAGGAGAGATGTATAGCAAATAGTATTATATAGACGGGTGGGCCGATGTATCAGTATTATTTTGTAGACGGATGGGCCGAGGGAGCGGTGAAATATTTATTAGATAGATGGGTGGGCCGATGTAGGGAAATATTAGATAGACGGGTGAGCCAAGGGTGGGGTGAATTATTTATTACATAGACGGGTGGGCCGATGTGGGGTAATATTAGATAGACGGGTGGGCCGAGGGTGAGGTGAATTATTTATTACATAGACAGGTGGGCCGACGTGGGGTAATATTAGATAGACGGGTGGGCCGAGGGTGAGGTGAATTATTTATTACATAGACAGGTGGGCCGACGTGGGGTCATATTAGATAGACGGGTGGGCCGAAGTGCAGAATTTTACATAGACGGGTGGGCCGACATCGGGTAATATCAAGTACCAAGTACTAAAACCCAAAACCCAAAACCCAAAACCTGAAACCTGAAACCTGAAACCCGAGCCCTGAACACCCAGACTCGGGACTCAAGAGACTCAAAACTCAAAATTCAAAACCCAACTGGAAAGTCATACATTTTTACGAGTTAAGAAAATTCAAATTGAAGATGATATACATTTTTGTCATCTGGAAATACCGAGTACCAAGTACCGAGACCTGATACCCAAGACCCGAGATTCGGCACTCGGTAGTCAGTGAAATGAGTACAGAAATACATAAGATACTACACATTAGTGTCAAATTTTGACTTGTGAATCACAAGTCTCGAGTCTCGAGACTCGAATCACCGAGTACTGACTACCAAGTACCAAGTACTGAGTGCCGAGTGCCGAGTGCCGAGTGCCGAGTGCCGAGTGCCGAGTGCCCTGAGGCTTCCGGGTATTAAAACACAGATAGCCCTCGCTCTCAGGGGGTCATCAGAATTTAGATCACCTCAAACGGATGTGATTTGGGTGAGATATGAGCAAAATACTATATACCGGGTGAATTTCAGTATTGGAAGTTTGATGCTTTCGATGTTTTTGATGTCGGGTCTTGATGCTTTCGGGCATTAACATGTAGATAGCCCTCGATCTCAGGGGTGTGGCAAAATTTAGATTGTCTGAAACAGATATAATTTGAGTGAGATATATGCAAAATACCACACACTGACTACCGAGGGCTGAGTACCAAGTGCCGAGTGCTGAGTGCCGAGTTCCGAGTTCCGAGTTCCGAGTTCCGAGTTCCGAGTGCCAAGTACCCCGATGCTCTCGGGTATTAACACCCAGATAGCCCACGCTCTCAGGTGCCTGTCAGAATTTAGATCATCTCAAACGGATGTGATTTGAGTGAGATATGAGCAAAATACTATATACCAGTTGAATTTTGGCATCAGAAGTTCGATGCTTTCGATGTTTTTGATGTCGGCTCTCGATGCTTTCAGGCATTGACATGCAGATAGCCCTAGATCTCAGGGATTCATCAGAATTTAGATAGTCTTAAATAGATATGATTTGAGTGAGATATATGCACAATCCAAGATACAGGGTGAATGAGTCCCAAGTGTTGAGCGCCAAGTGCTCAGTTCTGAGTTCTGAGTGCCGAGTGCTGAGTGCCGAGTGCTGAGTGCCCCGATGCGTTCAGGCATTCAATCACTGTCAGGAGGTGTTCCCTCATCCACCTCAGTGCCATCAGTGTTGCAATCAAGCTTTCTGCCGTGTGCTGAGTGCCGAGTTCCGAGTTCCGAGTGCCCCGATGCTTTCGGGTATTGACACCCAGATAGCCGTCACTCTCAAGGGCCCGTCAGAATTTAGATCATCTCAAACGGATGTGATTTGAGTGAGATATGAACAGAATACTATATACCGGGTGAATGTTGGCATCAGAAGTTCAATGCTTTCGATGTTATTGATGTCGGGTCTCGATGCTTTTGGGCATTGACATGTAGATAGCCCTCGATCTCAGGGGTGTGGCAAAATTTAGATTGTCTGAAACAGATATAATTTGAGTGAGATATATGCAAAATACCACACACTGACTACCGAGTGCTGAGTACCAAGTGCCAAGTGCCGAGTTCCGAGTGCCGAGTGCCCCGATGCTTTCGGGTATTAACACCCAGATAGCCCTCGCTCTCAGGGGCCTGTCAGAATTTAGATCATCTCAAACAAATGTGATTTGAGTGAGATATGAACAAAATACTATATACCGGGTGAATTTCAGCATTGGAAGTTTGATGCTTTCGATGTTTTTGATGTTGGGTCTTGATGCTTTCGGGCATTAACATGTAGATAGCCCTTGATCTCAGGGGTGTGGCAGAATTTACATTGTCTCAAACGGATATAATTTGAGTGAGATATATGCAAAATACCACACACTGACTACCGAGTGCTGAGTGCCAAGTGCCAAGTGCCGAGAACTGAGTTCCGAGTGCCGAGTGCCGAGTGCCGAGTGCCCCGATGCTTTCGGGTATTAACACCCAGATAGCCCTCACACTCAGGGGCCCGTCAGAATTTAGATCATCTCAAACAGATGTGATTTCAGTGAGATATGAACAAAATACTATATACCGGGTGAATTTCAAGTGAGATATATGCAAATACTATATATTGACTACTGAGTGCTGAGTACCAAGTGCTGAGTGCCAAGTGCAGAGTGCCCTGATGCTTTCGGGCATTAACACCCAGATAGCCCATGCTCTCAGGGGCCCATCAGAATTTAGATCATCTCAAACAGATGTGATTTAATGAGTCCCAAGTGCTGAGTGCCGAGTCCCAAGTGCTGAGTGCCGAGTGCTGAGTTCTGAGTGCCGAGTGCCGAGTTCCAAGTTCCGAGTGCCCCGATGCTTTCGGGTATTAACACCCAGATAGCCCTCGTCCTCAGGGGCCTGTCAGAATTTAGATCATCTCAAACAGATGTGATTTGAGTGAGATATGAGCAAAATACTATATACCAGGTGAATTTCAGCATTGGAAGTTTGATGCTTTCGATGTTTTTGATGTTGGGTCTTGATGCTTTTCGGGCATTAACATGTAGATAGCCTCGATCTCAGGGGTGTGGCAGAACTCACATTGTCTCAAACAGATATAATTTGAGTGAGATATATGCAAAATACCACACGCTGACTACCGAGTGCTGAGTACCAAGTGCCAAGTGCAGAGAACCGAGTTCCGAGTTCCGAGTTCCGAGTTCCGAGTGCCGAGTGCCGAGTGCCGAGTGCCGAGTGACCCGATGCTTTCGGGTATTAAAAGCCCTCGCTCTCAGGGGCCCATCAGAATTTAGATCATCTCAAACGGATGTGATTTGAGTGAGATATGAACAAAATTCTATATACCGGGTGAATTTTGGCATCAGAAGTTCGATGCTTTCGATGTTTTTGATGTCTGGTCTTGATGCTTTCGAGCATTAATATGTAGATAGCCCTTGATCTCAGGGGTGTGGCAGAACTCACATTGTCTCAAACAGATATAATTTGAGTGAGATATTTGCAAAATACTATGTATATACTGACTACCGAGTGCTGAGTGCCGAGTTCTGAGTGCCGAGTTCCGAGTGCCGAGTTCCGAGTGCCGAGTTCCGAGTGCCGAGTTCCGAGTGCCAAGTACCCCAATGCTTTCAGGCATTAACACCCAGATCGCCCTCGCTCTCAGGGACCCGTCAGAATTTAGATCATCTCAAATGGATGTGATTTGAGTGAGATATGAACAGAATACTATATACCGGGTGAATTTTGGCATCAGACGTTCGATGCTTTCGATGTTTTTGATGTCTGGTCTTGATGCTTTCGAGCATTAATATGTAGATAGCCCTTGATCTCAGGGGTGTGGCAGAACTCACATTGTCTCAAACAGATATAATTTGAGTGAGATATTTGCAAAATACTATGTATTTACTGACTACCGAGT